GGGAGTTTTGGCAGAGCTCCACTAGGCCCTGGACCAGGAAATGCTTTGCCTCGACCAGCAGCTCCTGGACGGCCTGTCGACCTTTGGGTAAGGCAACTCTGCCATCTCGAAGGTAACACAGGATGCTGCCGAAGTGCTTCCCGCTGCGGTCGATCAGGATCCAACCTGAGCAAAGAGACAGTGCTGAGAACATGGACCTGCTGTGGCACCGCAAAGGAAACAGCGTGTCGCCGACACGGCAGCAAACCCAACATCTCTGAGAGGAAGCTGTGTGCAAGTCTCGCTTACTGCTGTCAAAATGTCTTATCCACAGTTGGACCGCCTTTTATTATCAAGCCCATAGTTTTTATTTCAGACACTCTTGGACACATTCATGACCTGTCTCTAGCAAATTATAAAGGTCATAAAACTTTATATTTTAACTGGTCTGTGCAAATTCTGCGGCTTGCTGCTAAAACCTTGTTGGTAAACAGATCACTGTGAAACTTTTCTGCACGAGTTCATGGTAAACATGTTCCTGTTCATGTAAGAAAAAGCATATATGAAGCTTTAGAAGACAATTAAGCATTTCCTCTTCTGTGCTTTTCTGGGTGCAGATGTCAGAGTCCGACTATCAACAGCTGACAAGTCTGATATCAAATAGAGTTTAGATCAGTGCAACTCTGCAGATGAGAAAGACGTCTCTATAAGAAAGACGTCTGCTGAAAAACTAATTGTTGCATAGTTGACGTCAACTAGCATTTTCCAGAAACGACAGAGCGAGTTTAGAGCACGCCTCCCCACTATCCAAAAGCACCTGTTGTTTAATCAGTACAGATAGAAATAAATGAATAAATACTGGCAGCTAAAATTTAATTCAAAGTGACTGAAATTTAAAGTCAAGCTTTGATTCGTGAGCCAGAATCTCGACTTAAACATTTAGTGGAACTTTTGTAATCTTTCCTACTTTAAACACAGTGAATATATGCATGCAGTGTATGTGAGGTTCTACTTTGGGAAGCTCAGAAATGCTCACCGTCTTTATCTGTGAACACTTCCTTCTTTCCACTGAACATAGCCTTCAGCATGGAGTTTTGCTTGGTCAGCACCTGCAGCGTCGTATAAAACAGCATCCCTCCAACGTTGAGCCGAACATACTTGTTGCCCACTGCTCCGTAACGACTACAGGTCTTGGTCTTGGGACAAGCCAGAGGAAGGTCTGGGGAGGTGGTTTCGGACTTGCTGAGGTCCTGGGGTAGGCAGCTGTCCCCAGACATGTCCCTTTGGAGATAGATGACCACCCTGCAGATGGAGGTCCGCAGGTCCCCCGCCGTGTTGACCACTATTGATGAGGCCGCCACAACCTCCTGGTGCTCCAGGTCATTCCTGAAAACAACAAAACAAACAAGAGTCCTGAATTACACCCCAAACTTCTCTGTGGAGCCACACGGAGGTCAGCGTTGATCAAAACTGTTGCATTAATCATATAAAACACGCAGAGATGGAGGGAATCTTCCCAGCCCAGAGTGGAAACCACCTTCCCTACTGCTATCTCCCCCTCAGAGGAATGAGGCTGCACCGGAAACTGAAAGGGTGGCGAGGGGGCGCATATAATTAGTCACTGAAAAGTATTTTATGTTTTTCTCGGGAATGGTAGTAAAAATATTTATTTTTCAACTTTAAAATCACTACTAACGGGTAAAAGGCCAATAACAATAATCTCGTACAGCTTTTGTTGAGTGCGCATGTCAAAGAAAGAGACCGTTTAGCAGCAGAAAGACTTTCAGCAAACTAACCAGATGCATTCACGTGTCAGTGGGGCGTCAGGTCACTCGGCGTGCTTTGTTCGGTCGAAACGTTACTATGTACTCGTTTCACACCGTTACGTTATTACCGATAATTCACCGGATTCTTGAAATAGTAACGCTACTGGATTATTAGCTTTGCGTCAATGTTTCACAGCTAGTTACTGCGCATGAGTGTTTCGCTAAGGTTAGCTAATGTTTGAGCAGGATGTCAAGACTTCGAACGCGAAAACCTGGAAATCCTAGATCTTGAAAATATGTTTATGCGAGCACGTTTTGAATCTATTCAAAGATAGCAAAGCTTAAATATGACGCAGAGAAACTTTACGTTGCGAAGTAAGTGTGTCACACTCAACAAGTCACATGAAACTGACAAATTTCAGTGGAAAGC